AGCCATCACAAACGCAGGAGACCCTAGAGAGGAGATCCAATGCAAGACATTGACTACTGCTGGGTGCTTTGGTGAAGTTTTCACTGCGAGGAGTTAGAAAAAAGCAAAAAGAATTATACGAAAAGTATTCTTACAGAAATATTTCTTCAGGCATGAATCCCATCTCATTTCCTGTCCACGCCATGTCAAGTGTATCGTATATGGCCCCGAGAAGGCTTGAAAGTGGATTGGAAACAATTTTTCTTTTCTTGGCGACAGCTTCCGACGGAGAACCACGCCCATATTCGAGGTTGAGACCCTCAATTGCCTTCCGGATATCTTTGTCACGGAAATGGGATGGACTTGTATCCTCATCAAAGGTATGTTGTGGAGCAGCGTATATGATTTGACGTAGCAAACGAGTACATCGCTTCAATTGTCAGTGTAACTTCAACATTTATTGACGGGGATAATGCTTCTTACCCAAATGTCCGTACCCTCTCCAATTAATGCATGTTGTGATGAGAGCAAAGTCAATTCTTGGACTAGCTTTGAAGCTGCCATACGCCCAATAGAATACGACTCGAGTGTAGCACCAGATATCGCTAAGAGTGCCTGACAATACAGCTGCCGAGACGTATCACCAGTTTCATCTTCTTGTAAAAGGGCTTCCGGACAGGATACCATTTCACTACACAACAAAACTAAAAGAGCATGTGACTTATTCTTGAATGTAGCTGTCATCTCACTTCCAGATCCAAGTCCGTGAGACATATTCAGCACTGTCTCTATAATAGGAATAGGAGAGCTCGAGCCAGCCACATCCCATCGCTTTTGGGCATTCCGCAGGTCGAGCCATGTATCCAAGAGCCAGGGGACAGTTTGAGATAGTGACGCCAGAGAAGAAAATGTTGAGTCAGGTTGTATGAGGGGATACGCAAGTATTTTTGCTAAGCTTGTTATCTGCCTTATCGCCTGAGATGACGAGGAGACCTGATATGTAGGTCCATGGCCCAGGGATTGTTCCCCCAGAATCTGGCGCAGCGCAAACTGAGACGGAAGGTGTATGGATGTGAAAGAGTTCATTTCCGAAGGGTCTAGTGCTGGGTTTTGTAATTGATCTATCGTGTCTAGGAGCAGTTAGTGCTGAGGCCATTCCTTACTAAAAAAAAAAAAAGATAATAAATAATGCGTACTAGAAACACAAGCTCGCAAGTACAGAACCAATTCCGGACCATGTGACCATAGTTCATTCGTTCGTGATGCCAGTAGTAGTAAATACTGCAAGAAGCCCTCTAGGGAGCCCTCCAATTCCTGGAACAAAGCGTGGCCAAGAAATCGCAAAAGATGCGGGAGCAGCCAAACCCAAAGTGGCTCAGTGCCTCGGTACAGCAACGTTCTTGAGGTATGTGTATGCGCGAGAACAGATGGAGTTTCTTTGATTGTAAATCTCAAGAAATTTATTGCTTTTAGGGCTTCGGCATGGGCATGTGCTCGATTTACAAATGGATCGTCCAATTTTATGCCTTCCAAGGCCACACGGCAGTACACGTATATGAGCATGTGATTGTGTTCAACTCGGTCGGCATGAGATTTGAGTAGTTCTGGGTGATCCTTGACCAGCTGAATCGTTGCGAAGAGCTCCTTCAATTCATTGCTTTCGTCCGATCGTGAGGACTTGGTAGAGGTTGATATGTTCTCGACAAGCTGAGCAGCCAATGTCGACGGCGGAGGACCCTCTCCCGCGGCGGCAGCGCCGCCATTCTGACCTAGCGGAGCTGTATTCCCACGGGAGTGTTGTGCCATCTTCCTATTGGCATCGTGTGTTATTGGCAATCACTTTGAGCCTGTAAAAAAACTTCGACAGAGTGATTCGTCGTCGGCTGGGTGACGCGACGGGTTATCGTGGGGCATGACGCGCCTTCACGTGATCTCACTCTCGCTGAGGAGTCAGGACCTTCGATGTGGCAGGAGCTGTGACTGTGACAATATTCTGCAGTCAACTCTTGCCTTTCTGTCTCTCATTTGAGTCAAAGCATCCATGGTCTAGTGAGCTGGAACCGTGCAACTTTCAATTTCATTGCTTCAATCTCTGGACTGACTAGCTTGTGCACCGAGATCCCTTGCTCTTTGTGGGTTCCTCAGCCTGATCATAAGTAAACATCTATCCTGTATGTGCTAAAGTACAAGGGGCGTCAACCCGATGACCGATCTGCATTATTGTTGACCGTCTGACCCGACAGCGCCTATAGTAAGTGGAGTGAAAAACTATCCTCTAACGGTCCGGAGGGCTCTGGCAAAGCTATTCTACCCCGAGCCCTTGATTCTCATATCGCACCGTGAGAGCATCGTGTGTCACGCCTACGGCTCTTCAGCTTGTGGCAATTTAATCACGAAACTCTGCTGACTCACCTCCCAGCTTGACCTTATAAGTAATCATGGCTGAGCCGTAGCTAGCCTCTATGGCCCCGGTCAGGCAAAAGTACCTATGATTGCCAATCCGAGTTACTCCTGCGGCGTTCTTGGTGGACATTGGAATTTTGTCTAGGTTCAGTGCCAGCGTCGCAATGCACGTCGTCCTCGAAGTGCAATGGATCGGTGGCTCGGGATCGTCGTTGCAGAAAATCTCGATTTCTGTTTGCGGAACAGGACCAGAAGAAACAGGTATATCGCACTGATAATCAATGGCGGTAGGTATTCCTTCCGTATAAGACTCGCCCTTGGGAAAGTCAGTATGAACCGGTCCGAGCAAAAACAGAATTTCAGACCTTTCTGATAAACCAGCACATTTCAGCAACCACCATCTCGCCTTCCTTTGGAGACCAAACCCTTGAAGTGAGTTAGCGTAATTTTCTGCCCAATATCGTGAAACCAAACTCACGCCTCCTTAGGGTCATGCCGCAACATATCATACGCAGCAAGAAGACAGGTACCGTAGGAGCGCCTGGCTATTCTCGATACGATTTGCACTTGGGTCAAGCTGGGATGATAATATCCCAGGCCGTGTATGACTGCTCCCTTTACCACGGCTATCCAGCCGTTATCGGGTTGCAGCACTGGGGTGTTGCGTGCAAGGGCTGCTTTTACTTCCGACTTCAAGTATGAGCTTTCACCGAAGCCACCAACCAGTACCACCGCGGCAATCTCGTCGGCGACCAGTCCTATCTGTTCCTTGATCAGGCAAATAATGTCTTTCATGATTGGTGCGAAAATTCTGGTTGTCATGTCGGCTTGCGGTATGGTGAACCGATTGCGTTTGAGGCCGAGGCTCTCATCAACACGGATCGTGAGGGGTTCTCCCTTTGGAGAGAAGTCTTTCTTGAACTGCATACCTTTCAGCACATTTACTGGTAGAAGAGGAAGGCGCAAATGCTGTACCCACCGACTCAAATTCAGCAATTGCCAATATCAGACGCTCATTGGTCCAATATTTGTCGCCGTGTGTTTGTTTAAGATATCTTCTGAATCTCTTGTTTAGCATTGCAGAGCCGCATTTTCCGCCTGTACCTTCAGTTATTTCTTTAACTGCCAAATTACCAGAATTCGATACCTCATATGATATCAGGTCGACTGTGCCGCCTCCGGCATCGCAAAGTACAAAGTTCCTGCCCGGCTTCAGAACTGACGGACCGAGGTGTTTTATTGTGTACAGAGCAGCAGCTTCCTAACATAGTTAGCTTCGAAGGTATTCCCATGGAGCGAGTTGTAATTCATACTGGCTCCGAAATGAGAAGGATCCTTTTGTTGCCACAAAAGCCGGCCATGGCGGCCGCTCGTTCGGTGGCTTGCTTTGCGGTGTTGGACCAAATTGCGGGCACCGTAACGACAAAGTCCATAGGAGTCATTTGAACAACTGCGCGCGAAAGCTTTCTTTCCAAGATACCGATGAAGTGGTCATGCAAACACGAGAGGTAGATTCTGGCCAGTTCTAATGGCGTATCTCCATCTCGGCTTGGTCTATCTGGCTCGTCCAGTTTCCTGGCCGGTGTTAGATTTCAAATCCCTTCTAGCTTGCATACAGCTTCCCGCACCCTGCAGATTAACTTACAGCTTAAAGAAGCGATATCGTTTGGCATCTCTGGGAATTTGGAAACCCCACTGCCATCCTGTAGCTAACTTTCGTAGCTCTGTAGGTACTTTGAGACTACTTTTTGGACCGTCAATGGCAGGCCAGCTCGATACGACATGTTGAACATCAGGCTAATGGAGATTAGCATTCGACCTACTGGCAGTACACGATACAGCTTACTCGGCTTGTCTCGGCCCAGGATACCCCAGAATACGTTGTTCCAAAGTCAATTGAGACGATTATTCTCCTTTTCTCCATTTTGGGTTCTGAGGTTACAAAAGACGAGCGGATCGGAAATTGTAACCCAAGGCTCAATGCGAGTGGATTGCCATCAGCGCTTTGCTTACAAGCTGGTGTCTTGTTGCTGCGGCGGCCTCATCGAATGACTACACCAAAATATCGCACGACACACTAATGAAAAGGGCGAGGATTTTACTTAGAGCCCTGCGACTATTACTGAACCTCGGTCCCTGCTGCATTACCGACTTGCTTTGGGCATTGTCATGCCCTCCAATGTCCACTGGCGGTCTCGAGAGTGGGCCAACTTGTGCAGCATTGCTGCCCAGCCGGAAGCCCAAGGCACTGTGCTTTTTAATCTGCACATTGTTGTGCGGCATTTGGTCAAAGCTGGGCGCCAGCCGTGTCTCAAATGGCAGGTAGACGGAGTAACTACATAACGACTTTATTGCCCAAGCATCCGCACCTACCAGCCAGCTTTGATGCCCAGCTTCATGCCGCTCTGTTGCCATGGAGCAAGCCTCAGTGGGGGAGTGACGCATGTTGTGCAGAACGATGCCATTACACATACGCGCTTACCGTCTAGTCGGTCATGTTTTCTAATGTCATGATTGAGAATTTGATAGTCGAACCTTCAATGAATCACATTTGCGAGTTGATACTCAATTGTGTCCAAGACACGTCAAAAACTTCGACACAAAAACCGAACGCCCCAATGGCGGAAGACACCACGACAACATCTACGGAGGACCAGCAAGAAGGCCTGGAAAGGTTACTAGCCGATGAACGAAGTTTACGCAGCTTTACCGAGCAAGTCCTAGATTGTCGGCAGATAGAACTCGAAGTTGCGGAAGTAGAAAACAAGAAACTCTTGAAGAAAATTGACCAGCTTACCAGGGAATTATCAGAGTCCAAGGCGCAGCTACTCGACGCACAAGCTCAAGTCAAGTCGAAAGACCGAAACCTGCAAGAGGCTGGTGATCAAATATTTCGACTGCAGTCACAGCGGGAAGACATCACTGAGTCGGATGCGAGGGACGCGTACAAGGCACTCTGCGACAAAATTCAACGATGGGTGGAAAACAGATTGCCAATAACCTTGGAAGCGGTCTCGTCGGGCCAAAGCAAGAAGCCACCGCCGGCACAAGCGACAAAATTTCTGTCATTGCTCCGTGAGCCAGCGAAACGATGTCTTTCTGTAAACCTCGGCGATGAATACCACGTCGTGGCAGCCATCATGTACTACTTATGGCTGGCTTTCTTCTCAAAGCCATTCTATTGCCCCCTTGATGATTCTACCGAGGATGCAACCCTCCTATGGCTTCTTGGGATCGAATCGGCCATGGCGAAATCTCGAAGTAGGACAAACCGCAAGATTTCAGGAAGGGGTTACTTGGTCATGCTAACTGGCGAGTCACAGATGCCGAGCAATGCCGCGAATGGAGAAGCGAAACCCTGTTGGCGCTGAGCGCCCAAAAGTCCTTCAAATCTAGACGAGAATCGTACATTTATCTAATTTCTAAGGACCTGTCATCATATCTGATACCGATATTCCCCAAGATATCGCCCCTGGAGCTCCAAAACTCGGTTCGAAAAGCTATCGTCCAGCCTGCAGCCGACCTAGCCCACAGACTTCACACATCAGTAAACGTGTTTTGGTTGAAGTGGCCGTTGAAGACGGCCAGTACGCGGCTTGAGGTGTATGAATGTTTCAACTTGGCCGATGGTGGCCGAGTAACCGACCTAAGTGGCACATCACCTGAGTCGCCTAGTCGACGCAACATCCGGTATTTGTTTGATATTGCTCCTGGGTTGTTTGTGGAGAGGGTAGAGGGGGGGAGGAAGATGCCTCTCAAGGCCATCTGTCGCCCAAAGGTCCTCATACACGGCAGTGAGAACCAGGTCTCTCACAGAGCCACGCTTTTGACGTGGCTGTACAGCGCCACGAGAGGCGGCTGAAAATGTACAACGGTTTTTTCCCCTTTGTTTTTCTGAGCCTGTAGGAGTTTGACAAAAGAGAGAAGCTCAACCCTCATCAACCACAATGTACGACGAGAAAACACGGGAAACTCGTTTTGTTATTTTGAGTCTTCATTTATACTCCAGCTTCACTTGCTCGTGGCGAATTTGATCTCGTAGGCGTGGGTGTTTCCTGGCTTGAGCCACCTGATTCTGGTACAAAGGGCCGAATGCAGTTGCGAATATAGTCATCGTCCATGCCGAGAGACGCTGCGTCCCTGAGCCCACGATTGATGCGGTCAATGTACTCCTCCTTGGGGCTGCTGTCCACCACGTGCACCAGGCTTATATATACCAGCACATTGTCAGTCTCCCTATCAATGGTGGTGGTTGTCTTCCGATGGCTGTGCTTGGCACTCTTGCGAACGCGGCATGGCCCGCCGCGGGCGACAATCCACGGAACCGAGCGGCGATACAGCGAGCAGCAGGCCAGCTTGACCCTGACCTGCATATGCTGCTTCTCGTAGGCACCCTTGGAGACGCCCTCGCTGATGTCGAGCTTCTCCTCATCCGTCTCCTCAATCTCGTACACCAGACCATCGACCCAGTGCCCCTCTGCGCGTACGACGTTGGCATACCCACGCTCGTTGATTTGCCATCGGAAGTTGGGTAGCCGCCCAAAGCCGACGTACCTGCTCTTGGGACATCTCCGCTGCATCTGCTTCATGTGTAGGTTGCTGCCGTAAGCAAAATAATACTTGGCATGTCGAAGGTCACCCGACGGCTCGTGAGCTGTTTCTGCTTCGCCCATGGCTGGCTGGCTTGCTTTCGTTTGATCAACTCCTCCTCCCTCCAATGCAGGAAAAAAGTGGTCAGGCGGCGGACAAGCGAAGGAGCGAAAGAGGGGAAATCCACTAGCCAGAAGCTGAGGAAGCGAGAGAAAGTGCCTCATCCTGCTCAATAGCAGGTCATTTTTAAACATGGCCTTGCTCCATGCTCGGGGTCGTCGAGCAAACGGGAGTGATGACGGTGGATCTGTTGTGCATATGTTGGGCCGCAACATGCTTGCTTGGCCGCGAGTTGCTGGCCGTCTTTGGACACCGCCAATCGAAGCCTCACACGTTCGGGTGGCTCGTCTGGTCATATTTCAACGGCGGCGAATCCCCAGACGTCGGTGAAAAGATTTCGTGCCTCGCATAATGAGGCTGTAACGGGTCACACGTTTCTCGTCCAACCGAACCTCCGCCTCCCACGTCACATATAAGTTCCAAGTTCCAACCCTGCACGAGGAAGCCTCGCGTCACGCCAGCAGTCGGGCAACTGCTGCTGATCGTTGAGACATCGATACTTGTTTTATTCGACATTGGGACAACGCTCCGTTGGGGTGACACGAAGCAACGACATCAGTGTTCAGGTTTTGTTTTGTTTTATTTCATTGCCCCTTCATCATCTGGCTTTGTAATTGGGCCTGTTTTGCATCTGTGTTGGGTACTGTTGCCCGTATAAGGTGCCGAGTTCAGAAACAATACGTGCGAGGCCTATCTCTGTCTGCTGTGTGTTCTTTGACCAGATAACTTACCCGACTGCGTGCCCGTGTTTGAGCCTGTGAGCTTTGTCCCGTATGAACTGTTAGTCCAGAGAAGAGAAGAGGAGGGCAGTTCGTCCCATTCAGAGACTCTGTGATACGCACTGCTCAGGTGACCAATGTCGACTGTTCAACAAGCTTCCAAAGTGCATGTTCTCTATATAATTCCAAGTCCGCATCTTCCAACAGTGTCAAACTCAGTCTTCTCCTGCACCGGAGCGTACCCTATCTATTGCCAACTGCGTCACGACTATCAGTCGCCATGAGACACTACAACTTTGGCGTCGAGATAGAATCCATAGGAAAGCCCTACGGCGGCGGCGAAAGCTTCACAAACGTCGACTGGTACCGACAGCTGGCCCAGAAACTACAAAATCGAGGCATCGAAGCCGTTCACGATGACTGCTCAAGATACAGCAAGCACCCCGAGTACTACGGCGGCAAATGGTTCGTCACCCGCGACGGATCACTCAAACGTCCTCGCCCATACGGTTCGTCTCAAAGCACACGCAAACACCGGACTTCCCCCCCCCATTCCCCCAAAACAATATACTGACTCTCAAAATAGTCTGCATGGAAGTCGTGTCGCCCCGTCTCGACACGACCCTTCACCTCACCCGTATCCTCAGCGACTTCTGGGAGGCCATGCGTGTGCACTTCAACCCGCAAAAGGACCAGTCCTGCGGCGGCCACGTCCACGTCACGCCCGTCAGCCGCAAGAACAAGTTCAAGCTGCGCACCCTCAAGCAGATCGCCTTTGCGGCAATCGCCTACGAGGACTTTCTGTGGTCTATGCTTCCCCCGTCCCGGCGCGAGAACCAGTACTGCAAGCTGAATAGCCAGAGCTCCGGGTCGGGCGTGTGCGAGACCCTGCTCTGGGGCAAGTCCACGTCGAGCCTCAAGCAGGTCGCTTCCGAGATCAAGGCGTTGCGGAGCGAGACCGACATCTACATGTACATGCAGGGCAACCGATACGTCCTGTGGAACTTCCAGAACATCTTCCCGCACCCCAAGACGGGGCGGTGTACGGGCACCGTGGAATTCAGAGGCGGGAACCAGTTTCTCGGCACAAAGGGAACCCTGGCATGGGTCGCCTTTGTGCTGGGCTTCATCACGCTGGCTACCAAGGAGGTTGGTGCACCCCTTCATCTTTTGTTCTTTGTGTATGTGCTGGTGCCGAGGGGGGGCTGACAAAGACGCAGAATCTCATCAAACGATTTACGGAATACATACCCCCGTCTGATCCCAGATACGTGAAACGCCTCGAGGAGTGGTGGGTTCGAATCAGAAAGGCAGCGAGGAAGAGCAAGTTGAGCAGGCATCTCCCCGACGACTACAAGAGGATGAGGACGAGGTAGTCAGTCACCCGGCAAACAACCCGACGCAACAACCCATAGCGCTTTCAAGAGAGAAGAAGCTACAGAAATTCGTGTACTATGCATCAGAACGGTCATCATCTAACGTGTGTCATCACTTATATATATACTTAATACATTGCCATCCAACTTCTTGATTCGTGTCCTGAAACGCCCGTTGTGAATTTTTGCTGCTTATGCTTCCTCCTTGGCTGGATCCTCCTCAAATAGTACCAAAACCGTGCCCGCTTTGCAAATATCCTGTTGGGGAAAAGACAAAAGTTAGTCTGCCGTGACTTGGAATCTTTGATGGAGAATAACTTACACCCTCCTTGTGGGCTAACTTCTTGACTACGCCGTCCTGCGGCGATCGGATCACCGTCTCCATCTTCATTGACTCAATACTGTAAAAGCAAATTAGTAAAAAACTTGACCGTAGAAATTAGAGATGGTGCGTGGTGGACTCACACTACAAGAGGCGTTCCCTTGTTGACCTCTTGACCCTCGACGACTTCATTCTTCAAAATTTTGCAGGGCATCGGAGCAACTACCGAGGCGGCAATCTCCTTCAGACCCAGCGCCTTCTCATACCACGAAGGCGGCAACAGAGAGAGATCAGTCTTGACACCGTGCTGGAACACGGTAATTTTGGTGTCATTGTCCTGAGTCTGCGGGACAACAGAGGACAGTATTCTCTCAGCAGGGAAGTAAGTCTGCAGCTTCATAACGGCGCCTTCGGGGGTAGGCTCGGAGGCGACATTGCTGAAGATGGTGGGAGTCTCTTGTCCCTTTCGCGAGACGGTGACATTGTACAAGTTGTGTCCGGTTTGGGTAACGGCCGCCTCGACAATTTCGCCCTCCTCCTCGCTGTACCCGTCGAGGACCTTGAAAGCCAGCTTGCGCTCGCTGGATGCGCTGGCGTCGCCGAAACCGAGGGTCTGGCCGTGGGGCCTGGCGCCGTTCAGCTGCAGACTCAGGACGCCCAAGGCGGCCTGGGCAAAGACCTCGTCGTTGATGTGCCTGGGCTTGAAGAGCTCGTCTCGCCACTTGTCGATGAAGCCGGTCTCGACATCGCCCTCGATGAAGGCGGGCGAGTAGCACAGGCGCTTGAGGAACTCGACGTTGGTGCTGACGCCGACGATTTCAAAGGCACGCAGGGCGGCCGCCAGCTTGGCAATGGCCTGCCCGCGGTTCTCCCCCCGCACAATCAGCTTGGCAATCATGCCGTCGTAGGCCTCTGACACGGTGCTGCCGGAGCCGAAACCCCAGTCTAGCCGGACGTCCGGGTCGGCCTGGACGGACTCGGGAAGGACGGCGTGGACGAGCTTGCCAGAGTCGGGCATGAACCCCTTCTCGGGGTTCTCGGCGTAGATGCGGGCTTCGATGGCCGCGCCGAGCCTCTTCATCTGCTCCTCCACCTGGGCCTGCTTCAGAGGCAGCTCCCCGCCGGCGGCGATGCGGAACTGCCACTCGACAAGGTCCAGGCCAGTGACCATCTCGGTGACGGGGTGCTCGACCTGCAACCTGGTGTTCATCTCCATAAAGTAGAACTTGCCGCTGTCCTTGTCGAGGATGAACTCGACCGTGCCGGCGCCCACGTAACCCACGGCGGAAGCAGCCTTGCGCGCCTTGTCCCACAGGTCCCGTCTCGTGGCTTCGTCCAGATCAGGCGCGGGAGACTCCTCAAGGACCTTTTGGTGTCGTCGCTGAACACTGCAGTCTCGCTCGCCGAGAGCGGCCGTGTTGCCGTGCTTGTCGGCGAACACCTGAACCTCGACGTGACGCGGCCGCACAATGTACTTCTCGACCAGCATCACCTCGCCACCTTCGCCAAACGAGGCGCGAGCCTCGGCACGGGCACTCTTCAGCTGGGCCATGAACTCGTCCTCTGTCATGACAATGCGCATCCCCTTGCCACCGCCGCCACGCACACTCTTCAACAAGACGGGGAATGTGATATCCTTGGCATGCTGAAGCAGCTCCTGCTCCCCCTGCTCTGCCCCATGATATCCGGGGACGCAGGGCACATTGGCAGCCGTCATGATCTCCTTGCTCCTCGCCTTGTTACCCATGTCAGCCATGGCCGTCGCGGGCGGCCCGACAAAGACGATGCCTTCCCTCTCACACTTCTCGGCGAACTGGGAGTTCTCCGACAGGAAACCGTATCCGGGGTGCAGCGCCTGAATGCCGTGCTTCTTGGCCAAAGCAATGATCTTGTCTCCGTCGAGGTAGCCGTTGGCGGGGCCGAGCCCCAAGGACTGGTATCCGGTCGAGGCGTGCCATGAGCCCGCATCGACATCCGTATAGACGGTGGTGGCGCGGATGCCCATACGCTCCGCAGTGCGGTTTATTCGAATGGCAATCTCGCCGCGGTTGGCAATGAGCACCGAGCTGAGGGCAGTCGTCTTGGGAGCGGACGAAGACGACGTGGACGTGTAGCGAGGCAGGGGCCTCAATGGGAGGCGATTGGCTCTGATGGAACGCATGGCTGCAGTGATGCCGACGACAGTCTCGAGAATTGAGCGCGGAGGGTATCCTCAGAACCAGGAGCGGCCATGAACAAGTTTTCCGAGGAGATGGAGAGAAGTCGCGGGCAATGGACATTTCGCCAGGTCATGTTTCGGTTCAACGGGCTAGCCAGCACTGGGCAAAGACACGCATCCGGCCGCGGGGAGCCGAATGTAGCCGTCAAACCAAACAACAAGCAGCCAGTAGGCCGACGTCAGTCCGTCCTCCTGCGGCGGCTCATGTGCCCCACCTGCCGGGGCTGGAGAAAATCTGGGGTTCTCTCCGGGAGCAGCTTAGCGACCAAACTCTTCCCGTTACTAAGCACGCCGTTCGGGCGAGCTGCTTCCTAGACAAGCCATGGTCTGGTTCAACTGCCCCACCAGACGTTTTGCAGCTCGGCGCCCAGCCGGCAGACGCACGAAGCAAGTCGGATGACCCTCGCGCATTCGACCACGCCGCACGAGCCGACTGCATACCAACCGCCTTCGTTCGCCCCCAAGCCTTCTCGCTCCAACAACCATGGACAAGATTCCATTAAACTACGAAGCCTCCGAAGGCGACACCCACAAGCAAACCACCAACTCACTGCCCCCAGAGGTAGTGCAATGCCTGGAAAATGCGCGCTTCGTGAGTTCCCATCGTCGCCCGTCTACCCCGCCAATCTAAGCCCCATCTTCACGCTTCAATTTTTTTTTTCCCGTCGTCTTTCAACGGGGCCGAAACGACCATGACATCCGTGACTGATACCCCCCTCCACCGAAGCTTCATCTGGCAACATGCACAGATAGCGTGCCTCACGTCTCGCTCATGAACTACACATACCTCCCCTCGTCGCCGTACTCCTCCGTGCCCGTCATCATCATGACCACCAACCCAGCCTCACGCAAGACGACCAACATTGTCGCCAACCCCAACGTCTCTCTTCTCGTCCACGACTGTGAGTTGCTCCTTCTCTTTGATACCGCGGGGACACCCTCCCGTAGTGTCCCCCTTTTTTTTCAATAATTCCCCTCTCCCCCCCGGGATCATCATCACCTAACTCACCCCAAAACCAGGGGTTTCCCACCGGCCACCTACCCAGGGCCGCCGCATGTCCGGCGGTTCTCCAGGCCCCGAACACCGCTCCAGTCTCGCCTCCCTTCTCCTCAACCTCAACTCCTCGGCCATGTCCAGCATCAGCGCTACCATAGGAGGAGCCGCCCGCCTGGCCCCGTCCGGCTCAGACGAGGAGAAGTACTTTACGGAACAGCATCTCGCCAACAATACCTTTGAGGAAGGGGAGGCCATTTTCCGGCAGGATAGCAACACGGATACCGATCGACGTGGAAGTCACTTCGTAGCCGGGGAGGAGGTACGGGTCATCATTGTTGATATCAAGGACGTCAGAATCAGTGACTGGAAGGGCACGGTCCGGGACTGGGCTTTGGTGTCGGATGCGGCTTTGGTCAACGGGGACTAACTGGACTATTACGCCTTGATATCATGATTGGTCTCCTACTACTGCTGCTATTCTTGCTTTACTCCTGGATGCTGCTGCCGTTTTCACCTTGTTGTTGCCATCTTTTGCCGCTTCGATTGATTTTTTTTTGTCTTACCTCGGGATCTTCCTTCGCACATGGCCGATTACTAGGTGGCTCTTACAACAGGATATATAATCAAGGAACTTGAGCACAAGAATCGTTCCTCCTCTCAATTTTGGTCATGGCTGTTCACTCTATCGTACAACCACGTCTTTTTCCTGCGCCACCCAGTGCCAAATACAAACGCCGATTCTTGCATCTACCATGTGCTTTGTGAAGAGGAGGAGATGCCATGCTAACGATATATCAATACCCATGATTCTGCGGCATTGATTCGAGCTCCTGCCCAGGCCTAGAATTTACTCAACCAATGCAATGTACCAAATGTCAAAGTACGAATCGGCAGAAGCAATGCTGACTTCGAGAGAGGAAAGAAAAGGAAAGGAAGGAAAAAGCAAAAGAAAAAGGAGAAATGATACCAAACAGAGTGGCATGCAAGGCTTAAATTACCTCGCCCACTCTACAACTTCGAGCGCCATCATAACGAGAACCAAGGTAGACGGAAGAATCCTACAGTATGATTAGCTTCGGTGCCATGGTAGTTTGAACTCCAACGCAACTCACCAAATAACATAGCTCTGGAACAGGATACGGCCCATGGTCTTTTCGAAAACCATGTTGATTTGGCAAATTTGAGCCAGCTGCAGAGCGCTTGGCGCACCCGTGAGAAGAAAACAGACTATAATAAAGATTGGGTCGTCCAAGATGCTGACGTTGAGATATTTGGCAGTGATGGCTAGAATCGGGGCCATAATAGCGGTAGGAAGGACCATGCGACTCAAAAGCGACGCAACAAGCAACTTGGTTCCAATCTGCTCTTCCTCGGGGTCGTGGTTGTCTTCGCAAGCCGTGGTGTTTCGTGCCAGATTCGCGCCCAAGACCACTAGAATCAATGGCACAGCAACTCCACCGCTTGATTTGACGGCATTAGTGACACTGTTATTGATAAAAGTGCCTTCTTCGAAGAACAGTTTCTGGAGCGATGGAATAGAGGCAACAAGAACAGCACAAAGCATGGCCCACAAAGGAGGGTTCATGAATTCCCAAAGAAAAGTCGCCGTTTTGACACCGACACGCTTCAAGAACGACGCAGTAACTTGCAGGGGGCGAGGCATGGAGTTGTACGCTCGCAGCATCATACTGTTGATGTAGGCTTTGACACGAGTCCATGGGCAGTTGCCTTTGGCGGCATGACTTCGAATATGAGGAAAAGCAACCATGGTGTTGTCGTTGCCGTTGACAGCCACATTCTGCTCATTGGGGAATGTTGAATAACCTGCCTTGGCTTTCTTTGGCGAGAGCAGTTCCTCGTCATCACTAGACTCCGTCCCGGACGCATGCGACGCACCAGCGGTTGGAGTTCGACCCGCGGGAATGTATTCATGGGAGTCGACACTTTGTGCCTCGTCCTCCTCTATCGTGTCACCGTCGAGGTTGTCAGAAAGATGGCCATTTTCGTCTCCCACAGGCTCGTCGCGATACCCTTGCTGACCAGCTTCAGAAATTTCGTCCTGGTACTCTGCATACTTGCTCTTGGGAGCCAGCAGAACATGGTATCCCCAGCTCCAGCGCACCAACTGGCCGAGTTGCTGGAAAATCAAGAGATACAAGATACCTCGGGCAGCAACCTCATCGTCATTATCACCCGGTATTCTGTCCCAATGGAGGCCCTTGATCGTCTGTGAAAGGGACATAACAAGCGAGATAGGAAGTGAATTTGAGTTTCCAAAGACACCCATGGCGGTGACAAAGTTGGAAGCCCGCTTATTGAATCGGAAGACCTTGACGACAAGAACGGAAACAATCCATGACACAGCGGTCTGGACAACAAAGATGGCGGGAATGATGGCGAGCTCGGATAGCTTTTCAGCGTTTAACTGCGACGCAAGCTTCGTGAAAACTATGATAGTAGTGGGTTGTTAGATTACGTCGTGAGAGGGCTATTGCAGTTTGGATACGCACTGAGGCATGGCGTGAACAGCATAACATTCAAGTTCGCCAAGAATTTTTGCTTGTCAGCATCGAAATGGCCCAGCCGAGCGATAATGTAGCCCGGCAAGCTGACGCAGACGACTTCTAGGACAGCCTCGAAAACAAGAAGACAAAGGTAGGCAAGAGATGGATGCGCCTCCAGGCTGCCATCCTGGCTGAAAGCCTTCAACGGTAGGTCGTATGCATCTTGAGCCAGCTGGGCTAGTCGAAAGGACGTCGGCTTCGGGAGAACACTAGCGAGATCCATCAAGCTCCCCTGACGGCGGATCTGATGGATGGGTGAAGTTCGAGAAGCAGAGCAAGGGGGTTAATCACGAAGTGAAGGAAAATGTCGGCCCTAGACTCAGGTCCGTCGAGAAGGATGAAGCAGAGGGGTGTATGGACGGCGCGGGTACCAGGATGCCTTTTATCGCCAGGCGAGGGCCTCTATCAGTGGAACGGTGGCAACGGCGTACGACGAGTGTTGATGGAATAACCTTAAAGCAATCAGGGTCGGGCGGCAAGCAGGAGATTGGTACTCCGTAGTGCCTACCAAGGCAAAAAAAAAAAAAGGACAACGTCAAGAGGTGTCTCTGTGCGTGGGTAGGCTGCAGGATTGGGTTGCACTGGCGCGCAAACGCCAAGAAATGCAGTTGACCGGCAGACACGGTTGTTGAACGAGATGAGCGTTGAGTGGGCTAATGACTCGAGGGGCCTCGATGGGGACGATGTTGCAGAATGTATTTGCGGCAGAGGCGGCCCCTTACGGCATGGAACTGCCAAAAGGGAGGATCATGGGCAGAATGTTGGAGGAGAGAAATGCTTTGGCAGCTTGGAAGGATGCCGCAGCTTGGTTTCATAGCATTGCTAGTATCTGAAGCTGATGGGGCACGGGAGGCGTTAAGAAAAATCAAAATGGGGAGCCAGGAATGGCTCGGCTGGGTGCTTTTGTCCGGGAGGCGTGTGGTCAGTTTTTGGTCAGATCAAGTTTCATTGACAGCGGCTCGAGCGCTGGACGGTACAAGCTCAGCAGTGACGAGCTACGGCACAGCAGACAATACACGCTTATCTACCAGGTACTCGGGTCTGGTACGCATTGCCCTCAACACCCCAGTGCCTGAAGTGCCGCTTGGCTCACCATCACGGCCAATTGCCTCTCTCTGATACTGCTGCTGCCCAATCTTGCTGCGTTTTCAGCATTTCGCTGCGGAGTATTTCTCCATGTATCCACCGCCGGTCACGCCGTTCAAAGCATCAGTATCATTTGGTGGTTCGGGACCGGTGTGAGACGGCCCCAGCCCAGCCCTGAGAGGTCAAAGTCTCACAACAGGTCAAATATCCAGATCAATTTGGCGTGTGGTCGGGCTCCCCCACTCAATTCAGAATAAACTTCTCTCCAAGCTACTAGGATGGTGGTATCGGGCCAATGTTCACTCCGCGGCTCTATCCCCTCGCGAACCCTATCACCCGAAACTCAACTCTGGACTGACATTAGAAGTCTCGTCGTCAACCTGGAATATCTCAACCAGGCGCAACCGGGACAAATGTGATAGAAATCCCAAACTCCCATCCACATCGCCCCATCGCATCGCCTTTCCTTGCCGCGCGACCGGGGGGGTTTCCTTGCTGTCTCGCCCGTTCCCACATCTTTGAGCTTGCGGTGGCGCAACCTGGCGTCTTGTTTGGGAGGACGTCGTCGATCCTGTGGATGTGCAGAGGTCGACCACGTGTGGTGCTAGAGGAGGCCGCCGGTTCTCTCCACCGAGGTCTCGATCTGCCGTCGAGGCGTCAGTTAACATGTATGGCGCCTGGCTTCGCGAGAGTACTGCGCGATGCTTACGTTCTGCCAGCTGGGTTCACGCAATTGCAAGGCTGGATGGTGCGTGGTTGGCATGATACATTCGTCTTGGAGATGACGCCGTATGGAGTTCAAATGTCAATTGATTCTGACTGCAGGGCACGCCGGGTCACACAGGTCACGATTCGACGAGAGCCATCACCTTGAGAGCGCCATGTTTCCTGCCGGTAGACGCAAATGGATCGTACCGAAAACGCCTTGCCATAGAGGTCTTTTCGACTTGAGCGTCAGTGCTGGAAGGAGTAAAATGGTTAATTAAAGCGCCGCTGCGACAAAAATTACGAGTCAAGCCAACTTCTCCGTAGCGCGTGGCCGATATGCAGCGGCAGAGCGCTCCGTGATAAAGCCACGTACGGACGACGCGGCTAGTCAAATAGAAAAATCATATCAACACCTCTAACCGGAGGAGCGATCCGAACATGGCATGAGTTGGAGCGTTCAACCCCAGATTGTTTGCCTCCAAAGCCATGTTTGCCGAGTGCTCCAAACGCGGGGTTTGCAAGGCTAGCAAGTCCAATGTGCAGAGAAGGGATTGCATCACTCCATACGGCCGTTCCCTCTCGGGACAAGCACGACATGCACGACAAGCACCACTCGTGGCTCTGCGTCGCTAGATACAGTCACCCGAGTTTCCCGAAGCCATTACCCATGACGCATCCAGAAACCTGCCCCATTGTTTCTAGCTTCGAGCGTGTTGTACATGCGTTAGACCATAGGCTACAAGATGGAATCTGGGTAACTAGTAGTGGGAAGCGGTGAGGCTCAGCGGCCTCCGACTCATCAGTTGGCTGATTGATAAGCGCAAAGCAGATCTAAGTTGCATTGACAGAATTAAAGACGTCAAGCCACTCCAGGTAGATTTTGCGACTCTCAGTTACGGCGCATCACGTCGGCGTCTCGCTCGCTAGGACCCCCAAATTCTTTGCACATCGGAAGAAATTGGACACGCAACATGCCTCCTCATTTCTCTCCAAACCCGTCGCACCATGTCCCATGTGGATCTTTGCCAAGTTTCTTCTCTGTATGCCGTGGGCTCGCCTTGATATTATCGCAGACATTGGTTGCGTTCGAACCTCCCCGCACTACGGTGCTATGCGCTGTCCATGAACTCCTCGGCTTGGCACATAATGGTGTTACCTTGAGAGATATCACATGCATTTCTGGACAATGAGAGTAGACAAGTTTCATATTCTGAGATGCCGCACTGCGCCTGTATAGCGACGTCGAGTCAGGCAGACGAAGCCCAGCCGTTCTCACGGGCTTACATGAGTGGTTGATTACGCCTTCATTTGTTCCACAGCATCATGTCTTTCATCAACTTCTTATCTTGACATCTAGCTGCTGGCCAAAATCAGCGGGCACGGCAGCAGGAGACCATGATACATACGTGCAAGGGAAAGAGGAATACATCTTGGTTGCCAAGGTACTTGGCGATGCTTATGCCACTATCAAACCCCAATCTGGTGGGTTGCCGGAATTAGCCATGCAGCTGGTTCATATGGGATGAGCTCCGGGGCATGCAAGTTACTTCTTACATGTTGCTAGAGTTGTGTGGACGGAACATGTTGCCTTCTATCAGGAAAATTAGCTGCCGCAGGGCAGTTCCCGCCGACCCTTGACTGTCCTTCAATGCGACAAATGACGGCTTGACTGCCTCTTCGATACGCGATGCTACCAAGCAACCGATGTTGCATTAAACCTTGGGCCATGTCTATCCATCCCAGAAATCGTTTTGGAGCATGCGCACCCGTACTATCATGGGAAAGCTCCGCAGATCAGATCATGTATCATGCCATCTTCGGTTGGAACTGTCGAGCCATGGATCAATGGCTTCCCACACTCGTAGGTGAGATATCTTGGCTCGACGTACCACGACGCGCAACCCCTATTTGTGCGAACCGTGACGAACTTAGTACCGAGTACTCCGTACTCTGTACTAGCTACGCTTTGCGTTTGGTAGTGACATGAGTAGAAATCTGCCTGCATGGACTAACATTACACACAGGCAGATGCGTTTCCACGCCACGACGACCTCGGTGAGCAAGCTTCCCTGCAACCTTGTCTCGACTTTGGTTGTCACCTCCGGAGCAGATGGACAGGGTCGATTGGATTTTACTCGCTGCCCTTGTGCTTTCTGTTAAATGCGATCTGGTGGCATCGCAACGGCTTTAGAGACGTTCTGCCCGACGGGGCACATGCCGGCTCCTTACGCCGTGTTGAAAGACGAGCAAGCCATTGTTCAGCTAGGAACGGACAATTCCGCGGACGAAAAGACAATGACCCAAAGCGTTCATCACGGTGTAAAGGCGAATGCGCGGCCCTGCGTTTCCCGTCCTCTCATCTCAAAGGACCAGACTGTCGCCTCGGCGTCCGACAAGAGCCTTGGGCAACCGCGTCAATGTAAAGTCATCCCATCCATATCTTGACTATAAGGGGGGATGCGTGGCTTGACAGTAGTTCACTCACACCTGGAGAAGAAAGAAAGGACAAGCAGAAGGACAAGAAAAATTTTTTTACGGCCATCCATGTTCGTTGGGAAGCAATGCCGAGAATCCTGGCCACCATCGAGACGAAGACTTTTCTTTTTCCCACCCAAAGCACAGCCGTGATTGATGTCAGGACCAACATGTCCGCGTCCAACAGACACCGTGAGTCACTCAGCAACGCCAGCTGTTGAAACGACGACGAGCATGACGCGGCTTGTTGTCTTGTATCGACGCCTTGCCTGTCAAAAAGGGCACGGAAAATATTTGATTGGATGCTGTGCCTTTTCGCAGCCTCACTTCCAGCTCTGGCATGGCCGGTGGAAGTTACACAGGCGAGGCGTCTGGTTAATGCTGGCGTCCCGGTTGCGGCAGCGCCCCACTGTAGCCCACTATCGACGTCGGTGAGGCCCTGAGCCATGAGCGCCGCAAAGCCACTGAGACGGAGTTGTCACAAAATTGCCTGCCCAAGACCTCAGAATAAGAGGCATCAGGCATAAAGTTCCACCTAAAAGAAGTTTTTTTTTCTTTCTTCTCTCGTTGTTGTCGTTGTTTGTGTACCTTGTTGAGGACAGGGCATGCATGGGGGCCCTTTTCGCCAGAGCGTTGTTGCAAGTAATTTGTTGGGCAATAAGGGACGTCAAGTGTTTTCGCGAACCATATATTGCCAGCTTCGGTTCCCCCAGCTGTGGTTGAAGTTTGTCTCCAATCAGCCAGTCGACATTTGCAAAGCCAAACTACCGAGTACTGTTGACGCAACTTCAGTAATCGACCGCCCAGAAAAAAAATTACATGACATTTTCCCGGCTTGTAACAGTCAATTCCTTGTTGCAGCCCGGGTTCTATCCAGTCTATGGCTTTTTTTTTTTTTTTTTTTTTTTTTCCCACTTTGATGTCCTGCTCCGCCAATTATTAGCACTTTAGCTTGAGTCCACATTGCGCCCCGCTACTCAACACTGCCTAGGGTACCCAAGAAGGCAGTCATTCTGTATGCACTGATTCAATTCCAAAATCTGCCCCGCGACAGACCCGTCTCTCTCTCTCTCCCTCCCTCCTCCCCGCTCACAATTCAATATCACCATCCCGGACTTGACAACGGATCGAGTAGCTCTGCCATCTCTCCTCCAGCGCGACGACGTATGCCCGAGAAAATTGCATGGTGTGCACCGAAGCTCTCTTGCGGAAGCGGCTGCGCCATCCGCTCAGGACCGTTGCTTCATCGCTTCGTCCACTCCCGCTGCGGCGATGAGCGGCTCCGATTCGACCCCGGTGATGCCGGGCGAGATGGAGCAATCGAAGGACGTAGAGGCGTCGACTTCTCCTGGATATGATAGTGATGCCGCTTTTGAACCCGTTTGTGCCAAGGAGTCGGTGCCTGCAGAACCATCTGCCGCAGACAAGCCCAAGCGAATGCCGTCGCTGCGATCCGTATCCGACCCGCGGAACATGAACTCGAATTCAACGGCCATGGGATTGTTGGGGAAAGCGCGAAACCCGTCAAACACCTCGCCGACTCTTGCTACTGGCGCAGGTGGCGTCTTGAACAACGATGTGATGGCGAGAGCACGGGCTCTTCATCAATCACGCATGTCCAAGTCGCCCATAGCCAGTTCCCCAAACTCGCCGTCGCCTTCCTTTCCATGCCCCGGTCGAAATGGGTTTGCTTTGGCAATGCCACCAGCTGCAATGCACCGGCCAAGCCCTGTGCCGCATCCGAACTCGGATCCCGTGATACCGAAACCGTCCCTGAGTCAGAGGAGATTCGGCATGAAGCTGTCCGATATGGGCGCCGGGACCTCGATGCAGTCCTCCTCCGGCCTCAGGCGGGCCGGTGCTCCCAAACTTGCTGACCTGGAGGTCGGTGCGCCGGGTGGCCAACAAAAGCCCAACGGATCCGGTCTCGGTTCGAAACTGGACGACTTTAAGAAATACATTGATGCTGAGAAGGGCTGGATCACGTTTGACGGAGCCGCCACCATTACCAAAACTGGTGTCAATTTTGCCAGCGGGCAAACATTCACCATTTCTCTTGACGAGGTTCAAATACTGGACGAGTTGGGCAAGGGCAACTACGGCACCGTCTACAAAGTCAAGCATGCCAAACCGTCAGCTCCGCGATTTGGACATGGCCTATCGGGCGTGCGACTACCACATTTACTTTCAGATGCGGCTGTGGACACTCAAGAGGCAAAGGCAGCCGCAGCCGCCGGCGAGGCCTCGTCCCCAGACAGCGGTAACGGCAGTGACAGCACGACCGGCAAGCTGATGGCAATGAAGGAGATTCGACTCGAGCTTGACGATGCCAAGTTCTCTACTATTCTGAAGGAGCTTGTGATTTTACACGAGTGTGTGTCTCCGTACATTATCGATTTTTACGGTGCATTTTTCCAGGAGGGAGCAGTCTACATCTGTATCGAGTACATGGACGGGGGCTCCATCGACAAGCTGTACGCCGGCGGCATCCCCGAAAACGTGCTGCGCAAAATCACCTATTCCACCGTCATGGGGCTCAAGTCACTCAAGGACGAGCACAACATCATCCACCGCGATGTCAAACCTACGAATATTCTGGTCAACACCAGGGGACAAGTCAAGATTTGCGACTTTGGCGTCAGCGGTAACCTAGTTGCCAGCATAGCCAAGACGAACATCGGTTGTCAGAGCTACATGGCCCCCGAACGAATCTCTGGCGGAGGAATGGCCCCAACCGGCAGTTCTGATGGAACGTATAGCGTGCAAAGTGATATTTGGAGTTTGGGCCTGACCATTATTGAATGCGCAATGGGGCGATATCCGTATCCCCCCGAAGTATCGTCCACCATCTTCAGTCAGTTGAACGTAAGTATCCGCCTCCTCTGCCTCCCCCAAAGGCGCTCCTTTATGACGGCGCAAACACGACACGACAACTGACGTGCGCATCCAGGCCATTGTGGAGGGCGATCCGCCCGATCTGCCCAAAGAAGGATACTCGGAAACTGCTCAAAACTTCGTGGCCAGCTGTCTGCACAAGGTACCCAAAATGCGCGCCACGTACGCCATGCTCCTCAACCACCTATGGCTGCAGTCCTTCTCCAAACCCAAAACGATAACGGAAGAGGTCGAAGAAGGCGATGAAGCTGAAACGGCAGCGGAAGCCGTGGGCCACCTCCAGCTCGGCGAGGGCGACTCGGAAGACGCCGAAGTCGCAGCATGGGTCAAGGGCGTCCTCGAGGGCGGCAAGGACAAGCCCGGCGACGGTTCTCGTCCGGCGCTGCACGCAGTGCCCCTCGATTCCGTGAGTCCCACCAGCAGTCCGGTCCTAGCATAAAGCAAATCCCTTAAGATCGCAGTCACACACTTTTGTCCCTTCTTTGCTTTGCGGGTGGGGGCCCTCGCATCCGCCTGGCAAAGTGTACCCGAATACTCGTTGCTGAAAATGGATAGGGTGAGGCATAATACCCGACATTGTTGCCCGCCGACACAGAGCTGGTATCTTGTTTCGGCTACTGGCGAATTCCAGCCAGGTGTGTTTGCTGTTTTGTGAAGAGTTGTGCCCGGGGGCCGTTGGCTTTTTTCTCTTGTCCTTTTCTTCTTCTCTTGGTCACTTTGGTTTGTCTGCTGTTATTATAGGTTTTATCTAGGGACTGTATACGCATAGGCTAAGAGTAGACGCTGCATGATACACGGGCAACGCGGGTGGGTTGGTCTTTTGATTTTAAGCTTTGCGGGGTGAGTTTGCATCGCGGGGAAAAAAGGAGGCGCATGTACATAGAGTGAATGATGAATAACCTTGGACTACTTGACATCTTGGTCCCGTTATCTTTGTAGATTCGTTCATCAGACTGCCACACTTGCCACTGGGGTCGTTGACGGCACGGCAAGGGAAGGTTTACACATACAACGTAGGACGTTCACCGTGGCGCAAATAGCATCTCCCGTCGTCGGCATGCATTAAACCACAATTATTAATTACCATCTGCCCAACCAACCGCCCAACCGCATCGGGTATCCTCCTTTGCTAAACGAGTGAATGAGTATGCTATTATGTACACCAGTGCGCTGCGTGCGTGCCCGGTATCCGTACCAATGGACGCCTTTCCCCCCCTCCCCTTCCGTTTCGTATACGCGGCCGTTGATATCATTGAAATGAGCGTCGATTTTGTCTCCCAAAAGAAAAAAAAAAATTATACAATAAACAATAAATGCCAAAGCATCTTTATCCCAAGATACGCAACGCCGGATAAATGAAACGAGCGTGGACTAGACTTTGCAACGCGCGGCAGAAACCAAGTCGAATTTTGTACAAAAAGGCAAAGTCACCACCGAGTAATCAACAGGGGGAACAAACTAAACCGCAGATTTTAACAACCTAAAACTGAAAAAAGGATGATTCTTTTTCAAGGTATTCAGCCCTGCCTCACGAATACTCATCCTTGACACGACGCCCCTCGTACGAACGGGTGCTCCTCTTGCGGCGGAAGAGGCCGCCGCCGCCGCTGACGCCGCCAGACTTGTCGCCGCGGATGCCGAGGCCGAACAGCACGAGGGCGATGAGGGCGGCGGTGAAGGAGCCCCAGATCCAGCCGAAGCCGTAGGCGCCGAGGTCGGCGCTGCGGCCGGCGTCGTGGAAGGCGTCGCGGGCGCCGACAAAGGTGGCGGTGAAGAGGCTCGTGGCGATGGCGTGGAAGAGGAGCGCGACGCCGGTGATGATGAAGGCGATGGCGGCGCCGAGGCGGCCGCAGCAGGCGAGGAAGCCGGAGAAGAAGGCCAGGACCTCGAAGAAGAGGGCGATGAGGATGAAGACCCAGCTGAAGCGCCACATGTAGAAGTAGTGGTACGACGTGGTGCCGCTGCCGTAGCTACCGCCCAGGCCGTCGGGGACGTTGCGCGCGTTGGCGGCCCAGGCCCAGCCGAAGGGCAGGCCGGCCTTGGCGCTGGTGCAGTCCTGGTTGTTGTCGCCGCAGATGTAGAAGTAGGTCCATTGCGAGTAGGCGCGGGCGCCGGTGATGCCGTCGGTGTGCGCGCGCAGGAAGTACGTCTTGTTGAGGGGCGTGGAGTCGGTCACGCCCGAGAGGATGATGAAGAAGAGGAAGAGGATGGAGGTGGCGAGCATGATGAGGCCGCCGAGGCCGAGGGGGATGTCTGCGGGAGGAAAAGTTGCGGTTAGTTGGTGATGTGGCTGGTTTGTTGTTGTTTTTTTGGGGGCGGAGGGAAAGTCGCGATTGAGCGGCATGATGCATGGCGCGGGAGGAGGATACTTACTTTTGACCATTTTTGCAATTGTCGGAAGCCCTACCGGCTGTGTGTCGTGTTAGAAGATGGGGAGAATGTAGGAGAGAGGAATGGCGGGAAGAAGAGGCTTGAGGAGAGAGGAGGTAAGGGGGAGGGTATGTTGGTATATGAGAGGTGGGCAGGTCAGGGACCGGCCACGTTCGTAGCGTAGGCTTGGCTGTATGATCCGGACACGAATATACAGCAACCAACGTTTGGCAAGTGTGGGAATAGGGTTGTTTTAGCTCACCAGACAGGCCTGGGATGTTTTTTTTTTCTTGCCAGAGGCGTGGGAGGCAAATTAGAGTAGCACTTGAGCAAAAGCTTGCTCGAGGGAACAGCCGGCGGGCAGCTCTGGTCGCAAGCTAGCGTTAGCTTTGGGCTGGTGCAGCAGTCTGGTGTGTGTGTCTCGGGCACAGCAAGGCAAAGAATGAGAGAGAGCAGGGATAAGCGTCGGATCGTGTTGTCCCACCGATGGTGAAGCAGGCGGAGCGGAAACAACAAGGTTGGTGGATTAGTGAAATGAGTGCCGTGTTTGGTCGTGTGTTTTATTTCCTTGCAAACGACGCGCAGAGGTTTCCAAGGGGAAAAAGGAGCCAAGGGTCAGTGTACGAGGGGAAACAGGATGGCGGCCAGTAGAAATAAAAACACGTACGTTTGACGTCGTCTGGTGTTCTGCGCCGGGCTGGATCGGGTCGCACGGCGCCATGGAGCTGGTGCATGTCTTCGTCTACCTCATGAGCCATCAGATTGCCAATATTTTGTTTTGGTTACGTCTGCCGTGGCGCCGGGTGCCCATGGGTGTGGACCTCGCAGACTGGTCATGACGACACTGGCGGGCGCCGGCATTTCCATCCATTGGCCCAGTTGTGCAGAGCAGACCAGACTGGATGGAGATGCGCATGGAGACGTCAACTGGGGCAGACGAAGCTGGGCACTGGGCTGATGCCGCACGCTTCGCACAGGCCATGGCTGAGAACAGCGAAACGCCTCCACACGGGTCCAGTTTCATGACGGTTATTAGTATGATTATTACTGTTTTTATTATTATCATTATTTTTTCTGTAGAGCATACACCCGACGGGAGAGGCGACAGTCTTGCGGATATGACCATGTAATACTCCGTATAGTTAGTATGACCGACAACTAGTTGCTTATGATGATTGGTCGAATAACTGGCGGGTTCAATGTTCAATGGTATCCCTGGCACCTCAAGGTGGCAGCTCCCTGTCCAGCTGTGAATTGCCGTTATTTTTTACGCAAAGAGATGAACCAGCAACTCAATTTCCTTGGTACCGTAGCAGTATACCCCGCCAGTCACCCGCCAGCTGCATCGTCAATTCTACCAGCACTTTGTGCTCCTCTGTTTTCCCCGACTCTCCATGTCAAGTGCGCTTGAGGTCTCGCCACGGGCCTCAACCTGAGCCGAAGGAGCTATTCTGCGGGTGTGCCGACCAACTCGACCAGTTCGTGGGCTCCCATTTCCACTAGCGGGAAACCTTCGCAGAGCTCCAGGGAGCTTTCTCCGGCCCCACCACTGGCCCCACCGCAGAGCTGTGATGTCATTGAATCACAAAAACGGCGACAGCCGTTTCGCCCAATCCCCTCTGGTGTGTTAAGGCTCCAATCGAGTATCTGCAGGCAGATATATCCAATGAGAAGCTAAACTTAAAGAGGTACTTTTATTTACGAGTAAATTCAGTGGTAATAAAAGTACTAATAAGATAATAACCTATCGCTACAACTAACTTAATACAGCCCTAAAGCGACTGATGGGTCGCCCTGCGGTCATTCGCGGTCATTCGCTATCAGTTGGGCATTGTGGGGCGTAACACACCAGAGGGGATACGGTTCACAGCTACTAGCTGCTCCGGCTAGCGAGTGCCGAGCAGAGAAGATGGCTCACGTCGTGCTCGTGCTGTGGTAGACCGGCGACAGAGGTTTCAGCCGGGAGTTTCCAATCCTCGATGCCTCACCAGTGTCACCACCGCGTTGCGGGACCCCGTTGACCCCATTAAGCTTTGCTCCGGACATGACCGCTCAGCTGGGTTTGCATGACGTCGCCCGCCATGTGTGGTGCTGTGCTGTGCGAACCAAGTTGACGCGTCTCTCATCGTCCATCTCGACTCTCGGGCGTGCTCAGATGAAACGGTGAACTACACCATCGGGAATTGAGTTTCTAAACGTTGACTTTTTGTCCTATTTTTTCTTATTCTTAAACAACTGTGAAAAATTACAAATATTTTCAATTGCTGTCTGTCATCTGCAGTGTTAAACACATCGATTCCCACCGCCAAAATGGGTAGCATCATGCCATGGGTACAGCTTTACTGTAGTGGCAGTGTACAGCCCCAGAGTACACGTAAGTTCGCGTGAGGTCTGGGGGTGTTTCCGGCCATTGCCCTCTAGAGGGCGGGACGATGGAAAATGTGAGTTTTGACTGGCAATGCTCGCAGTTGAGTAATGTGTGAGTCGTCGTTTTCGCAGTATATCGCACAAGGTTTGCATAGTAAAGACTCGTCCCAGTATAGAAGAGTGTCAGTAAGTGGCAAACGAGGGAAAACCGCATTGACATGTGACAGTCCAACGGCAAATGTACCGACTGTAAGGTTTCCAGCAAAGCTCATTTACAATGCTGCTTCGTGGTTTCCCCTAGAGTCTGCAAAGACCCGTGCCGGCAGTGCGCCAAGAGGTATACCAGGGGGCCATGACAAGTCCATATCGCTGAAGCTCTTTTTGATACCCTCAAAGTGTTGGATATTGCTTTCAAATGCTGTGCTTGTTGGTGGGCAGCGGAAATCCAACATGTCTCGCCATAGAACACGCCTTCTCATCCCGCGAGTCTTGGCGGAAGACGGGCACATACGTACGTCAAATTAGACCTCACAGCCACACGCATGCGTCTTAGTCGAGTGCGTGTGATGCCGGTGACGTGCCCGTCTTGGCAATGGCGTGCATGAATACTCGCGTGCGTCTGGACTCGGCTCTTCTCCCTGAATGAGCGCATATTCAAGTCACGCGTAGTCTGGAACGAGGGCGTGGTGGCCGCCTTTGTCAGATGGCCAACGTAATTTATATACCAAGCTTATTTCTGGATGTCAGACTGATGCGTTGGCACGTGCAACATGGCATGTTCTGTTGCGCGAGAACTTTTCTTTTCTTTCCATTATGGTTAACTTGCACTACAGCGTAACGACTCTAATCATGCCCAGAGGTACAATATAGCAATTATTGAAGCAGCCCTTTGTAGCCCTGTGTATACTTTCGTTTGCCGAGTGTATAGGTTAGGTATTTGCCTGCATAGCGGTTCCCAGAGGGCCTCGATTGCAAAGCGCCGGAATACTTGGCTTTGAGTTGGGCGAAAGGTGCTTGTGCCAAATGTCTATATTCGATAATACAGCGTCCTGCTTGATATTGCCCCCCCTCTGCTCGAGAAACAGTCTGCGCCGGGTTTAAATAAGCAGAGCCCATGTACTACTGCGCGTCTCTTTAAACGAGCAACAGAAGCCCTCAAATACCAGAGTTCCAACTCAAAGTCAGACGTTGTGATGGTGGTACAGTGTAATCTAACCCCTACTGTATCCCATGGTAAGCTTTAGCGTACTTTGGCACTCTGTTTCGTTCGCGGACCCAACATCCATGGCGGTTGGATAACGCAAAAGACAGGAAAGAAGCCCAATCTTCTTGACAGTCCCAAAAGACGAGCTTCAACTCGTTGCAAAGCACCGAGGCCGTAGGCAGTGACAATACGTCGACGCTTGTCATGTGGTGCTTTGTGCTCCTCTGGTGATTTCATAGCAACTGCGTTGTCCTGCTAGATATTCCTCGGTCTCATTCCTCCCGCTGGGCAACGGTCCGTGCTATTTCTGCTGAGGTGTTTAATAACATGGTATGCAATGCCTCTTCGGCGGGTCAAGTTGCCTCTAGCCCTAGAGGTATATCGTCCTCCGTTTCCTTTCAACTCAAGTCAGATGGCACAACCAAGACGACGAATAAGGGGAGCGGATCCAGCGTATCCACGTTCAATTCTACTCGGGTGCGGACACAAGAGAGCCCGAATATATATTCTGCGGGAAATTTTGTGCCCACGGCCACAGGGCCGCCCAGATGCTGAGCTTGCAGGAGCAGCGTTGAGCGGACCGAATCATCCCACAGGAGACTTCCCGAAAACGCAGCCTCGTTTCATACCTTGGAGAACCCTCTCAGCGCGATTTGGTTCTCACTCCCTGCGGTCGGAAACTACTTCAATGGCCGGACCATGGCCCGCCCTGCCTGGCTCAGCTCGAGACAGGAGGTTGATGGCTTCTTTGTCAGCAACACGGAGGATGTCGTCTTGAAAATGGCCCGCGGCTTCCGCATCGAATGACTGAAAAATGTCTGCTCATCACGGCCAGCGCGCGAAGAGGAAAACATGACAAGAGCCAACTTCACTTCTTAATGGCTTCAATATCACCATTGTCCCGCAATTAGCTCCCTCACATTCTCTCCAAATCCACCTTGCACAAAGCCTTGATCCCGTTATTCTCTTGGAGTTCCGAGCCGGTATTTGAAATATCCGCGTACCTCGGCCCACAAGGGAACAGGAGTGCCATTGTCGCCCGCGTCGTCACCAGAATATGATTCCAAGCGTGGGAGATACTTGAGGCGGATGATTCCTCGCAGTAGGGGTTTAGTGTGTCCATGGTCGTCCTGGGCTGGCACAGATTCTCCTTTGTACCTGTCCATGGGATTCAGTTGGTTCTTGTCTAACGGTGCCGGGTCTCAAGTCGGTAGTGGCTGCTGGAGGAGCTCAACGGCCTGGATTATGAACAATGAAACCGTGATGTCTGTTGAGGCTACGGTGACTTGGTTAACGAGGACGGCATCGGATGGAGCTTGTTGAGCAGCCAGACTTTGGCCAGCATGATTGACGCACAATCTTAGTCTTTTCCCGTAGTATCTGCCAACTACAGCTACCACCAGGCTCGACACAGTTGATAGCGCTGCTGTTAAAAATTCCAGTCGATGGGTAAGGCCGGTTGTTGCGTGCTGGATCAACCTGAAGACCTGGTCCATCCAAAACTTTAGTTCCTTATTCGGTGGCAACTCTCAGGTCCAGCACCACTGCAACGGCACCGCCCAATGGCATCGCCGCAAATGCCAACAGCTGAAGCTAAAGCGGGTCGCACCGCTGCCAGCAACCAGCGGAACTCCAGTCTTCATTCACCCAACGTCACTCTCTGTACCACATTGTGAAGCATCTCACCAACCACCTCACATCGTCTATCAAGCCCCCCATGAACCTATGCACTGTCCACACGAGCTAAGAAACTACATGGCAGCCTCATGATGCGGTGTGCCGCTTTGCCACGTCGCGTCCGCGCTGCCGCCTCGCCGTCACCCGCATGCAAAGCAGCACCCCTATGTCGTCGAGGCTGGCCACGCAACCCGTTGATGAAGGGACTGGCCCCAGCGCTGAGATGGGCTCATTCGGACAGAAGGCTGAGCATCCTGGAGCACGTCCACCTCAAGGGGGATCCCTTGACCGGCCTGGCCCCCTACGAACAGGCCGAGGACGCACAGGAGCAGCATCGGACCCGATTTCTCCAATGGAAGGCATCATCTGAGGGACAACGAATGTCAGCATCGAGCCGCCATGTGCCAAGGCCGCGCCTCATATCGTTCGAAGCCACGCCCACCTTCACCCTTGGACGCCGCCAGGAAGACTTGACGGCAGAACAAGCCACGCGCCTGCAACAGCCGCTGGACATTGGCCTGGTGCACCGTCGCAACCCCATCGCACACCGGTTCACTCCGCAGGTCAAGAAGACCAACCGCGGCGGTCTGACGACGTACCACGGGCCGGGGCAAATCGTTCTCTGGCCCATCATCGACATGCACTCCTCTCTGTATCCCAAGTACGGCGTGGCCTCGTACGCGAATCATCTGGAAACGACGACGCAGCGTCTCCTCTCTGAGCTCTTCGGCATCCAGACGTACACGGCTCGTGATGAGCCTGGCGTGTGGGTGATGACGTCGAGTGGGCAGGAGCGCAAGATTGCGGCACTGGGTGTTCACCACCGGCGGTACGTGACGGCGCTAGGCATCGCGGTGAATATCGATGTGCCTGTGACGGGAGGGGAGGCTGTTAACCCGTGGGCTCGGTTCGTGCCGTGTGGGCTTGACGGGAGGCTCGTCACTTCTGTGGCCGCAGAGGTTGGCGTCGACTCGGCGCTCGGATGGGATTTGGAGGATCTGGCTGGTCGATGGGCGGCTCTGTTTGACGAGGGATTGGTGGACGAGGCCAAGAGGAGTGTTGGGGATGGCGAGGCGCTCAGTCGATTGCAGAGATGATGGTGATGGGGCTGGCTGGGCGGGGAAAAAATGGACGCGCTACGAAGTATGTTCTTGATGGCAACGATACGGTAGTAGTGATACTGAGATACCCTATAATGTATATTGGCGTGCTCGAAGGAAACCCCAGTTCCTGCATATTGGTGATGCTCTCTCTTTCTGTGTGTGTGTGTGTGTGTGTGTGTGTGTGTTGAGGGGGTCTTTCTGCTACTGCAACCAAAATATGTCGACAATCATAAACGAGCAGAATAACTACACAAGCTCAACCTTACCAGACTCAACGCAACTAGCCTGACGTACCCCACCCTCCACATGGCATCGTAAACATGGATAACTGCAAAAGCATGTGCAGCAGAGAACCTGGGGACGCCTTGTTTCTTAGTCACACTAAGCAAATATCTTGCTTCCCCGGCATGTCGTTCCGGGTTCCTGATAAGTGAAACATGGGCGAGCCATTGGTCCCTCGGGACTTTGTTAATCTCACGGATCTGGAAGCGGGTTAGCTGGTGGGGCATCTGTGCCTTATCACCGACGGATCTTGATGCTGCGTTCAACGGGCCAAAGCTGTCCAGTGATGGATGGAATGCCAACTTTTGCACCTTTTATTTGCGATTGAGGGACATGATTCACGCTATATACGTCGAGCGGTGACACAATTCATTTTCTTGCCATTTCGTATGAAATCGTTGCGACTTTTCGAGTCCATCAAGCCAACACAAGCCAGTCATTTAAAGTTGGCGCTAACCCTTTGGGAACCGGGCCAACATGTGATTGGTCGCATCTATTACGCCTGGTAAGAGTTTCGTTATCAGACAGGGCTTATCAACCACGACGAAAGTTTGATACGGGGTCTCCCGACTTTTTTTTCATACGCATTATGGAAAGGCCCGAGCTTGGATCGCAGGAGGGCAGGTAGTGTACGGTATGGCTGCGACAGGATTTGCTTTCAGAGGGGCCGAAAACGGACCGTGGCCGTCATTGATGCTTGGGATACCATGCGGTGAGTAGTTGGATGGCGGGCCGGTCAACTGGCTGATGAGTTTTGAGTTGCGCTGGAGACGCTCTGTGTTTTACTTTTCAATTAGATGATTATACATAGCGTGGTGAAAATGAAGATGATTTACTGCTATGTGAACTATAAAAAGATGCAAAGGTTGAGGCTGCTGCTGCAGTATACGCCCACTTACACCGGTCTAAACCATCGAGATGGCATACTGTCTACTCTCACGCAATGGATTTACAGTGAAAAACAACGTAAATACGCTACCCATATGAAAGAAACTCACCCCTGCAGTAACTTGCACCACAAACATGCCAAGTTGTGCCGTCTTCGGAGCACATCCCCGACAGTGTTGGTCTCACATGTAGATAAGCTTATCTTGCCAACTTTACGGTTCCGTCTCCAAATGTCCAGCAACGCGCCAGGCGTGTGTTCCCTATCTAATGACAGATAGTTACAATACAATATGAGTCCAAGTCTCATGCGAGTCCTAGTCCGATCTCAATCCGGGGCTTGTCCCACGCAAGCTTGAGAGTCTTCGTCTTCATACATTAAAGAGCAAACCAGTCCCCCCCGAGCGTTTTTGCATGCCATATCCCGATCCAGCCTTGAAAAATACTCAGCAAATCTGGCATCGTCTAGTGCTGCGGCCGACATAGCGATCCACGACAATGTCATCCCCCGGCCCGGCCCTCAGCCAAGGCTTCGGCTACGGAATCATCCTCGGCGTCGGCTTCGCCTTTGCCATCTTCATGGTGACGCTCACGCACATACTCAAGCGGTTCAACAATGAGGTCCAGACGTCGGAGATGTTCAACACGGCGGGCCGGACCATGAAGTCGGGCCTCGTGGCGGCGGCCGTCGTCTCGTCGTGGACATGGGCGGCCACGCTCCTCCAGTCGTCGGGCGTGTGCTACCGGTACGGCGTGTCCGGGCCGTTCTGGTACGCGTCCGGGGCGACGGTGCAGATCCTGCTCTTCGCCACGCTGGCCATCACGCTCAAGAAGAGGGCGCCCAACGCGCACACCTTCCTCGAGGCCATCAAGGCGCGGTACGGCGCGCCGGCGCACTTCACCTTCATCACGTTTGGGCTCGTCACCAACGTGCTCGTGTCGCTGATGCTGATTGCCGGCGGCGCGGCCACCATCAACGCCCTCACGGGCGTCCACGCCGTGGCGGCCATCTTCATCATGCCCGTGCCCGTGGTGGCGTACACGTTTGTCGGCGGGCTCAAGGCCACCTTCATCACCGACTACATCCACGGCCTCGCGCTCTTCATCATCATCATCACGTTTGCGCTGACGGCCTACGCCACGTCCGACGTCCTGGGCAGCCCGGCCGCCGTCTACGACCTGCTCGTCGAGGCGGCCGCGCGCCACCAGAT